TATGTTCGGGTCCATAAAAAGCCAATTGGCATCTTCCATTTGTGGGTCAATGCTGTGTTTCAGTCAGATGTTTCTATCCTGTTCTCACTTCTGATCCAAGGCTGTAACGTTGCAAAATGAGAACTCACTCAACTTCCTCATCAGCGATTCAACAGATTCTGCATTCACTTCCAGTTTTATTGGAAGTTTACTTTGTACAGGGAGGCCAAAAAGTCGTGATAGCATTACATTGTCTAATAAGTCTTAAAGGAATTATGACTTTTTTTTTAGATATCAGATTGGCTGAAAAATAAGACTTTTTGGTCACCCTGTACATTCAAAAAACTGTTCATTCCAATATGACCTGGTACAAAATGTGGCCACTAAGTTCAAGATTGTGGCCACCATGTTGATAGCCAAAGCCCAATGTTAAACCTTCAGGAGTTCTTCTGTTTTAGTAAACATTGTTGACCTGCGTGTCTTTAAATTGTTGACCGGTGTGTCAAGCTATGCACATTACTAAAATGGATGGAAGCGTTTATCTACAACCTTAAAGTGTAAATGGGATACAAATCCACTCATGATTGGTAGCTTGATGTTCTGTTGCCTTTCTAAGCATTGTACCCACTATTATGAGAGTAATTTTTGTCTGTGTTGCTTAGCCTGAAACATCAAGAAATGTTTTACAACTTTTGTGCTGGACCAGTATTGGAATGTGGTGGAGGGTTGCAGAAAAAAAGATAGAGATGTAGTACACTTCTGTAGGTTATTATTGTATTATTGTTTTTTTTAAAAAGGAAAAAAGGCAGTAATTGAAGGAACATATATATCAACGCAGTTTAAATTTTTCATTATGATGAAAAATGGCATTGCACACCTTAGAGTTGAAATGCCAGAGTGTAAATATAAATGTACTGTTTTTGATGACAGTGAAGATATTGATTGTATAACCAGAATATCTTTATTGCAAGTAACAAATTCTTATTGACCGTCTCTTTGGAAGGACTAGAAAGTGCCTTTCTAGTACTTCAAAAGGAGAAAGTATACCTTATTGTGGAGATAAGGTATACTAAAGGAGAGATATTCCTAATCGTGATTCAAAACTGGCATATAACTGGCATATAAGAAATCCTAAATATTCCTTGCATTTATGTATTTATTGCACATTTTCAGTCTCTTAATTACTTGCTTTAGAAACATTTTACACTATTACATTTCCATGTTTTTATATTTATACAGCCCATATACAGCAAAGAGCTGCAGCTTGTGAGAAATAGAAATGGAATTTGATTTACAATATAGGCTCAGATACAGGAATCAATTATTTTATCAACACTACCAGGTTTGTTTCATCACATTTGATACCTGTGCTATGCCATTTTGTTTACCACATTGCCACACTAGAGTAAAAAGGTCCATTGCAGGTTGATCTCAAAGGGAATAAGGGCTCATCCAAATGGTAAGTGAAGTTGCTTTTGCTTTACGTCACCAGCAATACAACAAAGTTTGAATTTATACTTATTGAGAGGGTTGATTGCCTCATCATTAGTCACTCATGCAATGATCACAAGGGCATAAGATTTGTTTTGCTGAAGGTAACAGTGAACTCCTGGAGGTGTTTATCACCTATGTAAGCTAAGCTTGGTACTTAATTGTACGCAAAATACACTTTGTACTTAATTGTGGTATTAAATATTGTTTCAGTGCAGAACACCTGACAACAAACCATAATTTGCTAATTTCAGTTGTTATAGGGCAGCTTTTAAAATAAATTCTAAATTTGGCAAACTGAAATCAGGAATTTTTAAAAAAGCAAAAAAGTCACATTTTCATTTTTGTGAAAAAAGTGTTGTAGAGAATAACGATGACAAATCTTTTGATACAAATAAAAAGCAACTTAGGGTTGTACAATTTCTAAACCATTCTGCCTGGATAGAACCAGTGCTTTTATACTCTGGTTGTGTTGCAATATCAACCTATTCCAAGCTAATTGGAAACAACAAACTGTCTGTACACTTGAAATGTTATATCTCAGATCATTTATAGTCAACAGTGAAATATAGTAAATGCCCCCTCCTGCAAGGCTGACCTGATACCTCCTATATATTTTCTGGTGTGATCTATTGCCAGTCTTATTAGCAGAAATATTTATCACACTGCTCTTTTGCCCATGATATACGAGTTCACGCAATATATATAAATATAATTTAAATATAAATATAAAAAAACAATGTGGACATAAAAGTGCTGAAGCTGTGAAATGTAACTATAGACTAGACCCTGTATGGTGTGATGAAAAGCTTTCCACTATTGTATTAGTACAGTATAATACAACCTCAAAATATGCTAACCATCAGGGGTGGATTGACCAAATGGGAAATTGGGAGATTTCCCGAGTGCTCCCATGATTGGTTCCTGATACTTAACACCCCAGTCCTTGAGCATTTGTTTCAAGTCTGTATCACAGCTGTCATTGACATTGGGATATTCAAAAAAATGTGCAAAGACAATCACTATGGAGTGGAGTCCTGTAGCTCAGTGGTTAGAGCACTTGCCTTGCAAGCGAAAGGACCTTGGTGAATTCTCGGGCAGGGTGAAACATTGGGCCAGTTTCCTTGCTCCACATACCTCTGTTTA